GATACTCCCTGCCTTTCCATTTAATGTCACCCTCAGTCTAATGGTGGATTATGGAATGGTGACATAAAGAAAGTTGGTTCTATGAGCTTGCCACATCATCCACTAGAAGTACACTAAATCAGCTATATGCCATGGCACCTGCCCACACAGAAACAGAGGAAACCTAAAAGGCAAACCCACCAACACTCACCTGTAACACATAACATGAATGACATTTGAAATCAGCAGGGTGAGGTGCTCCATTTAATAGAACATCTCCAGATAATCCATGTGGATCTTTCCTTGCTGCTAACACATCTAACAACCTATAAAAGAAAATAAATGCGGGATTTCTTACCCTACCACATAGATCATGTCTCAGTTACTATGAATCCAAATTTTGCTCAAGTTAGAAAATGAATTAGTAATAATATTCTGTGATTTATCTAAAACTATATGTATACTTTTAACATAAATGCTTATGTATTTTGCATATACACTTATATTCTCACTTTTTTTTCTTTATATACTAAAAGAATGCCCAACACCATAAAAGCAAGATATCACTGGCATATCCAGCACAGACCTTCCAAGTGACCCTCTTGCTGTTTGTTTGGTGGTCTGAATCTAGGCAATGTGCCCCCTTTTCTAAGACTCATGACCTCACTTAGACTTTCTACTTCATCTTTCCATTTTTTTACATTACCCCAGTCTTTTCTCTCTGCGTTGGAGCATACTATGACCCTTTGCTGCACACCACTCACTTTACCAACCCCATATTAATAAAGCTAATCTATTCAGATCTATCTAGGTACTTTTATGTCTTTGACAAAAAGCCACAAGCTGACCCAGCTGCAAGTTATCTACAGCTCCTAGAACCAGCCTGGTCATGCACAACAAATTCTTAACCAACATGTGCACATGTAAGAGTGATTTTTAAAGGCACATTGAAACTGCACAGAAAAGGCTCACTTACACTTTCTGTTATACTTACACAGATTTGCCTGCTCCTGAGGGTCCCATAATGGCATTGAGACCAGGTCTCATGATCCCACTGAAAACAAAAGAACATACCAACTTAGTGTTCTACTTTAAACTAATTTATATTAATTTAAGTTCTGCATTGAATACATTCAACGAGGGCTTATGATACTGGGTAGAAAAGAAGTACCTACAAGTAAAAAGAGAATAAAAATCATTGACTAATAAAAGACTAGTTTACAAAGTATATAAATCAGTAGTTAAGACCTATAAGAAGAAAAGGCTTAGGCCCCTATAAATTAATTTATTCTCAAAACCATGTATCCTCGTCGGAACATTCAATGTTCAAGGTTCCTTGAGATAAACAACAGATTGTCTTGAAGCAATTAGGCTACATTTATACCTCTTGACACAGCTTTAAGTACCTTACAGCTTCTGAGCTCAGTTAGTCCCCCATTTGTGAACAAGTTCCTTTCCAGGAGAACATTGCTAAGTCAGATTCATTTGTAAGTCCGGCAAAGTGAGTCTTACACACCTTTGATGCAAAATACCATATAAAGCATAAACACACACAAAAATACAGTAAGTCCTCAAGTGCACTGTACTGCTGTGCACTACCACACTGTACAATAAGCACACAGCAGCACAAGTGTGACGGTGTCTGGCAGATGTGAGCTACTTCCACTATTTGCTCACAACTATCAACGTTCACAATGTGAGGTCCATTTGTATCTGTGAAAGTCCCAAACTTGAATACTTGTAAGTTGGGAACTGTAATGTTTATCAGTGTTTACAAATCACCTCACCTTTAACCTAGTGAGGTCCTACACCATGAATTAATAATGGATTAGTAGAATGTCAGTAGCAGCATTCTCACCACAGAAAATGTTAGACCAAAACTCAACACTTCCTAAACAGAAATCCAAAGGTTAGCCCAAAGCACTCAAAGGATAAGAAACCATCACCAGTTCTTAAAACTTAAGAAAAATGTCTTACCAACTAGAAAATGAAACACCCTCCAGGTAATTTCCTTTCTCGCTATGGGTACATTAAGCAGACTGGAAAGTGCTGTTTGGAATAGGGAGACATCACCCTAGTACAGGATGTCCTTTAAGAATGTACGGGCACAGTACACACAGGAGTATGTTTCAAACAAGTTCTAGTACGTGAATGTGTGAGGGAACTGAATATTCTAGTTGAGCAGGAAAGTTGAAAAAATTCCAGCAGGGCTGACTGCACTGAGACCCAGCAAGGAAGAAAATACTTTCAATTTTATCTAAAGGTAACAGTGGAATATTTAAGTAGAACAAATTGGAAAAAGTTGAATTAAGGGTCAACCACTTCAAGCAGACAGACATAATGCAAAAGAGGCCTAACAGCCTTTTTAAAACCCAAGTGTCTATGTCCAGGCTCCCTTTATAATTGCAAATGCGGTCAAGATGTAGCCCTCAGATGACAGAAAACAGGGATGTGGACTTGATGGTGATGCGAAAGGAATCTGGGGACTGAGTGAGTTGTGAGGGCAGAAAGGGGAAGGGAAATAAAAATGATTAGGATGGGACATGTATATGTACCAGTTCCCAAGGTGAATGTCACTATTATGGATCACAGAAATATAAGTTATCCTACACATTTACTACATCTTTTAATTTTTCATTTTATTATAAATAGACCATTTATAATTGTATATATTTACATTAAAACAGATGTATTCCACAGAGAAAACAGTGTCTAGTACAAATGGAAGGTCAAAGTTGATGATAATGATTTCCACAGAGGTCAATAGTATGAGTACACAATCGTCATGAGTGCTGATTTCCAAGTGTGACTATACCAGTGTGTGACTCCCACAGAAACTCATCGTTTACTGCTTGTTGTCCCTGAAAGGTCACAATTATACAGTGGCTGTTGGAGTATAGATGTAATCTTCACTTTGCTCGTGAACTGGGATACTTTTCCCTGAAACATCAGCCAGATACTGGGAGTTCCATAAGCCTGGAACAAGCTGTAAATTCAGAAGAGCCTTGTTCTTTTGTTGACGTTAATTACACTCTAACAGGAAGAAAGCCATGGGGACATAGGCCAGTGGTAGAGATGCTCCTTAGCATGCATGAGGTGCTGAATTCAACCTTGAGCACCACATAAACAGTCCCAATGATTGGAAACATTTTTCAGAGTGCATTAATCTACTGGTTTTGATATATCTTATTTAATAACTACCTAGAAACTGTTTCTAAAATGATACAAGACAATTAGCTGTTCACTAAGGCTTCACTGCCATAAAACCATTACAGGTTTTTAAAATACTCAGATAACAAGCAAGTAATGATTTAACCAGGAACTGAATGTGAATGTGTTAAGACAAAGAATTTAACAAGTTGCTCAGTTTGACTTCTTTTGAGACTGTGCCCTAGCATGAAAGGAACCTGCAATAACGTTATCATCACAAGTGCAAATTCCCACCAGGCAGTGTCTAACC